TCTCGCTGGCCTACGCCAGCCTCATGGCCCTGCTGGTGGCCGCCATCGTCTTCTGCAATGGCTCCGTCACCCTCAGCCTCTGCCGCATGTACCGCCAGCAGAGGCGTCACCAGGGCTCGCTGGTCCCTGGGCCGCGGGCTGGCGTGGACGAGGTTGACCACCTGATTCTGCTGGCCCTCATGACGGGCATCATGGCTGTGTGCTCTCTGCCTCTCACGGTGAGTCCCCTCTGGAGCTGGGGTGGAGTGGGGGGAGGAGGAGGGCAGTACCCAACTTTGTCCTCCATCGGTTGTGTCCATTTCACAGGTGGGGAAACTGAGGCTCAAGAGAGGTCAGACAGAGGCTTTGTCCACAGTCAAACAACTCCCGACTTCCTGGAGAAGTCTCTCCCAATTTGCTTTGGTCCCATTTAACTCCTCCTGACCCTTTTTCTCCCCCTTCTGCATCCCCACTCCCCCATAACTAAATGCCCCTCCATTCTTCCCCTGACCCTGTAATGATAACAAGACTCACCAAGCACAGAGCACTCACTCTCTGCCCGCCCGATGCTTGGTGACTCACAAACACTTCCTCAGATGATCTTCAAAGTGATTGTATTGCCCCATTCCACAAGCTTTAGCAGGAAACAGCGCAAAGGCCCTGCTCTGTCCCCATTTTTACAGATGAGGGGCAATGTCTCCTGCTTATGATCATGCAGAGCCAGGTCTCAAACCTGAATCCTCTGATCCCAGAGCCTGACCTCCCACCCACTGTCCTGTCCCCTTCCCCAGCCCGGGGCCCCAGTCTCGTGCCCTCTGCCCTTTGACTCTCCTTGCCTCGCCTCCATTTCCTGCAGGGCCTCCCACTCTGCCCCCACCACTGGAGGAGCACTGACCCTTGTACCCACCCAGTGTCTGTGACATCTGCTCATGCCACCTCGATTCTAGGCTCATGCCACCTCAGTTTCTCTTTCTGTAAAATACAAGGGCTTGGCTGGATTTGGGGGTTCTTGAACTTTTTTGGGGGGGTTACAATGACTCAGAGACTGGAAGCTGTGGACAGATTACATACAGGCACAACCACAGCTCTGCAGGCAGCTTCAGTGGGCCCAGAGATGGCAGGTTCAGAAATCTGTGGAGCCCATGGGTTCTCCTGGCTGGGAAGGGTGGGGGGCCCATCTAGCTGGGCCCCATTTCTCTCCCTCTGGGTGTCTGCTGGCTATTTCTGAGGATTTCTCTCTCCCTGCTCCCCAGATGCATTTGCTACTTACTTTTCATCTTATCTTATTTTCTCCCCCTCCTGACATGCCACCTCTCCCTGACCCCTGCTGGTGAGCATGGAGGAGGAGGGGCCGAGGGTGGGGGAGGTGGAGGACTCATGGGTGCTTCCTGACACTCTTGCCCTGCCCTCAGATCCACGGCTTCACCCAGGCCGTTGCCCCGGACAGCAGTGAGATGGGGGACCTCCTGGCCTTCCGCTTCAACGCCTTTAACCCCATCTTGGACCCCTGGGTCTTCATCCTTTTCCGCAAGGCCGTCTTCCAGCGACTCAAGCTCTGGTTCTGCTGGCTGTGTCCCGGGCCCGTCCGTGGCGACTTACAGATACCCCTCTCTGAGTCAGCCTCAGGGAGGAGGGATCCGAGGGGCCCCACTGCTCTTGGGGGGAAAGAGGGAAGCTGGGTGCCTTTGTCAGCCTGGGGTGAGGGTAAGGTGGCACCCTTGCCTCCTGCACAACCGTCCAGCAGCAGCACTGTGGGAACGCCATCCAAAGCAGAGGCTGTTGTCGCCTGCTCCCTCTGCTGACATCTTAGGCTGGCCCTGTGATCTCCTGCCCTGCTTTCCCAGGGCAGGAGCCAGAAAATCAGGGATACAGCTGATGACTGTAGATGCCAGAACCCTGGTCCCCAAATTCTGGGGGGTGATCAGCTGCTATTTCTCTTCCTTCAGGGTGGCCACTACAGGCTCTGGGAGGAGAGTGAGGGACAGAGGGAACATTTATCCTGGAGCACAAAAAGGAATAGTTCTCTCAAAATAACCAGTGGCCCGTTCACCCTGCTCTGGCTCTCAACTCTCCATCCATCTCACTGTCTAAATATTTAGAAGGGCAGAAAAGTTCCCAGTGGCTTCTGTGTGCTCAGGTCTGCTTGGGGTAGGGTTCCAGCACCCATCCTCATCTATTAAGGGGGCCCAAGCCCCCGAGGATGGCCCCACCCTCTCCCAAGTCACTCTGAGAACCACCCCCTCTCTGTCCCATGAGAGCAAGGGATTCTTGGAAAAGCTCCCTGCCTCTTTGCCTTCTGATGCTCCATCAGACTTGGGAGCCCTGGCACCCCAAGGGGAGGAGGGAGGAAGGGGAAACTGCTGCACTGTGAGTGACTTGTCAGATGTGTGCCTGGTATGAAAAGAGTCAGAGAAATTCCACATAGCTTGGGGGGCTGTGAGACGTGAACTGTGGGGGTACAGATGGCGGGAGATAGATGGAGAAGCTGGGGAATGAAGGGGTCGGGGGTGCTGATCCCAGGTACTGTCCAAGATGTAGACCTAAGTCCTGTGCCTGTCCCCAGGGTCCTGAATAGATAAACTGCCTCCTTACAGACCCTGATCTCCCCTCAGGTGTCCTTGGACCCCTCACAAAGATTTATTAATTCATTCAACAAATACTCATTAATTCATTCAACGAATACTCAGTGGATATTGACTCTGCCTGGTGTTGGGGACACAGACAAGTCTCTGCCCTGCCCTGGACCCCTCTGGGGTGATTTGCAGCTTCCACCCTCCTTCCCGCTTCTCACGGCCATTCCCTGCTCTCAGAGAGGCCCAGAATCAAGGGTGCTGACTGGCATGAAAGGAAGTGAGTCGGTGTTCAGGGTGTGGGGAGGGTGAGTGGGAAAGCCCCCCACCCACCAGCACTGCCAGACCCAGTTCCCCTTTCTTACTTGCTTCTGGGTTAAAACAATAAATCAGCACCTCGGGAAGGGCAGGGTAGGTGAGGCATAAGCCTCCTATAAAGGCAACAGTATCTAACACTGAGCACCGTCGCCCTCCATCCTCACAACTACCTGTCATTAGAGCCTTTCTACAGAGACTGGAAGCAATGTCCATAGGAGGCAGACTCCTACCCTGGGCCACACAGCGAGGAGAAAGGGAGCCAGCCTTCTCTAGTCATCTCCAGGGCCCAGCTCACTGCTGAGACGGGCAATTGCCTCTCTGTACCTTGGTGTCCTTTCCGTCATAACCTAGCACTTAGTTTACAGGGTTGCTTTGAGGACTGAGTGATTCCCTCTGAAAAGCAGTTTAGCACAGGGCCTGGACTAAAGTCCACAATAAATGTTACTATTATTGCCATTGTTGTTGTTGTTGCTGTTGTTATCTTGGCAAACATGATTTGAAAACAAAGCAATGCTTGGCTCCGTTGTTTTGACTTTTCTTTTTTCAGTGACTGTGTTTCAAATCAAATTACAGAAGAATAAGGGATGTCTGGGAGAGTTAAAAACGTGTCTAGGTGACTGTTTAATGGATGTGGGGTTTCCTTTTGGGGTGATGAAAAAGTTCTGGAACTAGATAGTGGTGATGGTTGCACACAGTGTGAATGTACTAAATGCCACTGAATTGTAACTTTAAAATGGTTAAAATGGTATCTTTTATGTTATGGGTATCTTAACACGATAAAAAAAAATGTAGTTATAACACCAAGGTCAAGGGTTCAGATCCCTGTACCAGCCAACTGCCAAAAAATAAATAAAAACTAAAAGAATGTAATACTGACAAAAAATTAAGAGTGTTTAGAAACCTTTATAGCAATCTTGACAGAGTAATATTATATTGGTTGAATTTAATAATAAAAAAGTCCACTTGTAAAAAAACAAACAAAAAAACAGCTCAAGAAACATCAGGTTGGAACCCTGCCTTTGTCTCCAAACCTGGTCTGGCCTCAGCAGGAACAGACCCCCCCAACCCCACAGAAGATGAGGAAGGGATGGGTGGGGGCATTTTGGGGGTGGGAGCAAAGAGAGAGGGGACCTGCTGGGACAGGTAAGACCCCAGGTGGTGCCCGCCTCCTCTCTGTGTCAGCCCTGAAGGTGAGTCATTTCTGCCCATCTGACTTCTCAGGGCACTAAGTGCTAGCGCAGGCTGAGCATTTGAACCCAGGGCATCCTCACCTGAGGCGGGTGCCATTATCAGTCCCAGTTTTCAGATGAGGACGTGTGAGGAGGGATGAGTGTAGAAGCTGGTCTTCTGCTAGCTCTTACCCACCAGGCCTAGCATCTGATGGTTCACCTCAGACCCCACTGCCTCTCACTGGACATCTGTCTGCACTGTCTGCGGGCCAGGAATGGATTGCCCCCATCCAGCCACGGGCTCTCGGGGCTGAGTGGAAACTCTTCTTCCGGCTGGTGTCCTGACCCCCCCGACCACTGGAGTTCAGGAGTTCATGCCCCCTGCCGGCCGCTGTGCCGTCTGGGTAGTCACTCCCCTCCTTGCAAAGCTCCCAGGGCTCTGGCTGCTTGGAGGCCCTGCTGGCTCTGCTGCAGACCCTGCCCAGGGCCACATCAGACAACTGAGGTTTCTCCAAAGAAGCCAGTAGCTTTCAGGCCTCCACATCTTTCCTTATCGAGTTCACTCTTCCTGGAACAATTGTCTCCCCTTCCCCATCTGCTAAAAGAACTCTTGCCCTTCAAGGTCCTGATTAAACTTTTCCTCCTTCTTGAAGACTTATCACTTCTCCCTTGACACACTCTCAGCACTTTTTTGGCTCCACAATGGCACTCGCTACAGCGATGGCACAAACGTGTCTGCCCACTCCTTCAGCAAGGTCTTGTCGAGGGCTTACTGTTATGTCAGGACTTGTCCTGTGATACTGGGGACACAGCAGTGATGGACATGGCCCTGGCCTTGCCCTCCTGGGGCTCACAGTACAGTGGGGGAGACAGCCCTGTCCCCAGAGTGGTCAGGGATGGGAGGGGGCCAGAGGAGTCTAGGGGTGTGTCATGGAGGGTTTCTTGGAGGAGGGATGGCTGTTCCAGGACCTGAGGTTTAGAAGAAAGTGAGCCAAGCAGAGAGGAGTGTTTCTGTAGGGCTTACAGTTCTGACTCTGGCATCTGACACCTCTTTCCTTTGGCTTCCTGTGTATTCATTAATTCAACCTATTTTCCCTTGAGCCTGCTCTGGGCCTGAGGCTGTTCTGCACCTGCTGGGGATATAGCTGTGCCTGACACAGCCTTGGCTTTCCCTCGCTCATGATCCAGGGGGCGACAATTTAATAATCATATAAGTGTGTGTTACAATAAGCGGCTAAGATACAAAATTACAAACTGTGTTATGTACCAAGAGGGCACAGTGCAAGGATCTGTGAGAACATGTTCTAAGTGCCTGCCCTAGTCTGGGGTGGTGGTCAGAAAGTGACATGCTGAGAATGGTCTGTCTCCCTCAAAGGGATTTTATTAGTTTAAAAATTCATTTCTTTACTCATTTCTGTCCCTCTAGCACCAGGCCCGACCCACAGATGGGACTTAAACAGGGGACACACATACACAACATGGCTGGTCCCAGGCGTTGCAGCTCTTGTGGTCATTGCCCCACCTGCTGGTCACACTGCGAGTGACACTTAGGAGTGGCCCCAGAGCTACTGTACTAGAAGGCTGCACTGCCCTCTGGGAAGTGAGGGGAACAAGGGGAGCCCTCACAAGGGCCCTGGCTGGGCACCCCTAGTGCGTCCCGTTGTCTAGTCACCTCCTCAGGACAGGATTTGAGTTGGTCTAGCAGATCGTTAGACTGCACTGGAAATTATTCCCCATCTGAGAACTTCCTGCCTTGGGCTACAGTCAGCTCCCCTCAGTGCTTGCCCCGCGGCCATTAGGAGCTGAGTGGCATCTATGTGTCTTTGATTAATAAACAATGGGAAGGAGAAGTCATGATTATTTAATAATGTAGCCTGTCTGGGAGTAAAAGTCTTTCAAAACATAGGGCCCAAGGGGGAACATAATAGGCAGTGGAGAGGCATGGGCAACGGAGGCAGTGGTTAAAAGCATGGGCATTTGGGATCTGAGTGAGCTGGGGTTTTGAGACCCAGTTCAGCCACTTCCAAGAAGTGTGGTGTGATTTGAGAGGATTAATTTGCCAAGCCTCCATTCCTTTACTGTCAGAGCTCGAAATTAACTTTTCTCATGCCTATATGCTCAGGGTAGAGTATGCACACCCCAAGTAGTGCTGAGTCTTAGTATGAATCAATCTGGCCTGGGTGAGAATTAGGTGAGATGATATCTATAAAGTGCTTGGCACACCTGCTGAAGTGGTATTTTTATGATCCTACTTTTACAGATCATTATTATTCCCCATTTTGCAGACTGGTAAACTGAGGCCCAGAGAAGGGAAGTCACTGCTCTAGGTTATCAAATAGGAGGTGGCAGAGGTAGCCCCTGATGCTTAGTGAGCTGCCAAGACTTTCTCCAGTGAGTGGTCCAACTGGAATTTGAGCCCAATTCTATGGGACAGCAAAGCCTGTCTTCCTCTCAACTAGACCAGAAATTTCCACAGGTGTCCTGGCTGTGAAGAGGGCAGCTCCCATCTCAGACCCCACCATGGTGATGCCAGTCTCAGCCTGGC